AACACTAGGCATAAGGCCGAGCCTTCCACCCTTTACCAAGTGTATAGGTGCATTAATATAATAAGAGATATTGTGATATCCCAACAAAATAACCATGTTCCAACATGGAACAAGCTCCAATCTTCACCTGCAACTAACAACGCTATAAGAGGGGCTGAGCAAAGCGGTAACATAGCCAAACAACGGTTTGCTAGGACAAGGTGGGTTAGAGGCTTGGCTTAGCAATATGGAAGGCATGATAAAGCAAGTGGTAGGTATCGTAGCATAGGCATAGCAAAAGAGCGAGCAACTAGCAAGCAAAGATAGAAGTGATTTCGAGGGTATGGTCATCTTGCCCGAGATCCCGCAAGGAAGAAGAACAAGTTCATGAAGAAGACAAACGGACGTTGTCGAACGGATCCTCACAAACGCGACGTTATCGGAACTAACCCGAAGAGGCAACACAGGAAAGAAGCAAACAACATAGTAAACAACCACCGCATAAGCATGGCACGATGCGCAAACAAGTGTGATGCATGTCCGGTTTAAATATGCATGGCATGGCAAAGTGCACAAGCAATTATACAAATTAAGTGGAGCTCAATATGCGTTGCATATTGACGAAACACCACATCAATTATTTAGTTCCCTCCCGGTTAGGTACTCAACAATATTAAATGTTGGTTAACATGGTAAGAGGTGAGGCATAACAAAACTACACCATCTAAACAATTTAAATGGGGCCGGATATAACAAACAACAAATCCGGTAAATTCCCATATGCATTTAGCAAATTAAAGCAAACAACAATTTAAACCATCTTAATGTTGTTAACATGATGCGGATGACATGTTCAAGTTAATGCATTTTATAATTAATAGTTGACAAGAGCATTATGAAGCATTTGTCACCGTGGTGGAAAGAAAAGGGGTGCCACGGCAACGATAACGAAAATGATGCCACTGCAGCGTTCCGGTTCAGGTAACTCGATTGAGATACCGATGTAAAGGAGAAGTGTACGGATGCGTGCAAAACATGGTGGGGCACCCCCGGAATATCGGGTGTCCCATGAGTCGATGATGGTGACAAGGCAAAAGAGGGGCAACGTGCACCGACAATTCGAGCACGAAGCAAGCACGAGCATCTCATACATCACACATGCATTCGTTCACGGGCAGTCGTCTCGGGGTATACCTTCGAAGCGTGCAATTCCGGAGCGAAACGAGTTCATAGTGGAAGTAGTGGTACTTTTCCGAAGAGGAACTTGATGAACCCAACATCTCCGAGGCGATGGTAGTCATACACGGCAACGGTAGGTTGAACTTGTAGGGTCGTCCATTTCGTGGTACATAGGTGAATCCACGAGAAACGGTAGTCGTACATGGTTCATCGAGGAACTTGACATTTCGGCCTGTAGTCGTTCGAGCGTCCGACGGTAATGGTACTCAGTCGTTTCGAAGAGGTACTTGGGGTCATTCGAACTTGCCGGTCTCGTCATCTCGAAGGGGTACTTGACGTTCTTAGCTATTCCGAAAACGGCGGTAGAGGTACACTTGTTGTAGGGGTACTTGTCGGATCCACGGCGACGGTAGTCGTGCACGGGTCTCTGGTGATGGTAGGCGTACACACGTTGTAGTCGAACTTGACGTTGCGTAGCACGTGTCTTCGATGATGGTAGTGGTACAGACGAAGAGGGACTTGATGAATCCAGTGTTTAGGGTCGTCGCGGTACTAGGTATCTTGTGGGGCTTCATGGTTCGTCGTGGTACTTGGCAAAATCCACGGGGTGGTCCTGGCGTGCAGCGAACAACAGCGCAATCCACAGGTGTAACGGTGGTCTTGGCGTCCAGCGACAACAGTTCAGGAAGGCAATGGCATGGCCGAAGGTGAGGTTACACCGGGGCTTGGGCGTGCACTCCAGCGACGGTACGACGGGGGACAGCGTACTTGACGGTGGAGGAGGAGGTTGGTGCAGGCCATGAGCAGCGGCGCGAGATGCAGCGAGGTCATGGGGGCGCGAGGCTTGGACGTCGGCTGCAGGGAAGCTCGGGCAGGGGAAGCATCCACCATGGGGACCGGGAGGAGCTCGGCTCTCCTCAGGCGTTGCAGGCTGCTGGTGGAGGACACACGCGAGCGAGGTGGCTCCTTCACGGTGTAGAGGAAACAGAGGACGGCTCGGGTCCGGTGACGAAGGAGAACGGCAGGATGATGACCAGGCTGCGCTGACACTTGGCGAAGGCGTGTGGCCATGGACGACGGTGAGGCGGGTCAAGGGCGGCGGCGCTCCTGGTTGCAGCGGACGGGATCCGGTGACGTGCGACTTCAGGGGAGCTCGATGAAGCTCCTCTCCTCGGACGCTTGGGAGACGGGGAGCTTGGTGAGGAGGAGGTGCGGGCGCGTACTGTGCTGCAGAGGGAGGCGTGCGGGAGGCTGCGAGAGGAGGGAGAGAGAGAGACTGCGAGAGGATGGGGATCGGGTCGAGGGGAGAGCGATGGCGGCGCACGTGGGAACTAGGAGGAGGAGGTATCGAGCGGGAGGTTGGGCTAGGGTTAGGATGGGAGATCAGTTGGGCCGGTGCGGGAGGCCCAATTGGGCTGGACTGGTGGGAGTTCTAAGAGGCCAGCAGAGCAGGCTGCCTCTCTCCCTATCTCTAATTTGCTTTAACAGGAAAACAAATAGAGAGAAGAAAAAATAAAGAGAGGGTTAGGGAAAGAATATTTCAGAAAATAAAATATTCTTGAAGCGCCGGAACTGTGCACAAATATAATAAAATGGTTTGGCAATATTTTAGAGATAGAAAAATAATTCAAGTTTGAATCAGATTCAAACTTGAGCCATTTTTTAATCCAACCAAAACAAGTCCAAAGGATCTGAAAATTGGAGGAGGTGGTCCTGGCACGGTCTAGAATTTATAGGAAAAGAATGGACATTAAATAGAGAAGGGGAAAATGGGACTAGCAAAAGACAGGAAATAGAAGGAAAGGAGAAGGAGATGATGCATGGGACGAAGGCATGGGGAAATATTTTGCAAGTGTGTCAAGATAATTCCACATAATTGGGATATTTACTATAGCTCTCTAAATATCGAGAGGATATATTATAAAGAGAATCACCATATGAATTCCCTCGGTTTAAATGGACTGAAAATCCATACGGTTTATTTAGTTGAGTTGCAAAAGATTATGAGATGGAAAGATTAAAGACATGATGACATGATGACATGATGCAAATGCACATGATGCTATGATGAATGCAATGAACCAAACAAATCACACGACGAAACCCGGAAACCCTGGAAGGCATCTGAAGCTCCGGTCTTGGGGCGTCACACCAGCGGAGTCACCAAAAAATGTGTTTGCACACAAACACGACACCATGTAGCCTGGACGCCGGGGATGATGCACTGCAGCTCACGTCAAAGGAGACCCGGCCAGAAGCACGGTGCGCAAGCAATCCGACAGACGTTTTTGTAGACCCAAAGCCCCACACGCCCGGGAAGGACCCTGCCAGGGCGCGGGGCGGCTATGGGCTGCCCTAGGTTGACTTGATCGCCCCTAGGGCCTCAAGGTTCGCCGCCCTGCAACAGGAAGAACAAATGAAGAACGAGGAAGAAGAAGAACAAGGGAGAAGGTAAAAGATAAACAGCGGTAGATGATTTGTTCGATTGTGTGTTGTCCGAGGCCGTCACTTCTCGTCTATTTATGAGGTGGCTGGACTTACCGTACAAGAAAAGACTTCAAATCCCATCCAAATCTTTTCAAAATTAACCGAACTCGGATTTAGGCAAATTAGAGATATCAGTTCGATTTTTCAATCTCACAGGCAACAAACGACCTCAGATGAAAATGATCCCAAAAGAAGATTTGGCCGTTTCGACACGACAAACAACTTCTATGTTGTACGTTTTTCGACTCAAGACCATCTTGAGGGCTGAATCGCTCGCGCGACCAATCAGACATCAAACACACACGTGTCTGATGCCCCGGGCCATTTTTCGCTCATGGTCGGTCCGTAGTGCATCAGCTCCAACTTTTGCAAATGACCTCGGATTGAGATAATTTATATGTTAAAATCAATTAGCTGGACGAAAACAATCCATATAGCAATTTTTTCATACGACGTCATCTTGAAGGCATCATTGGCCAAACAATACTCAGAATGTAAAATCCTATAGTTTCAGCCCTTTAGATGAGATTGGATGGTAATGACTCAAACATCAAAGTTTCTTATTTTGATGATACAGAACCTTTTCATTTGAGGCAATCTTAATTGTGTTTTGTGACATGCCAACATATATTGTCAACAGGTAGCCGGTGTGTGTGGTACGCCAACGTGCGCCAGCTCACATGCGGGGTTTCGCATTAGTACAGGGCCTGTTGTGAGTATAATTTTTTCAAATGATAAATGCCACGCGTATGGCACGAAGCACTCCGGCCCTTACATTTCTGACAACCAAAGTTGTCATCCAAAAAGAAAAAACAAACCCCCAAAAAAAAACTGAAGCTTGCCATCCAAAAAAAAAGTTGTCATGCTGGACAATTAAAGTTGTCATTCTCATGTCACTAAGCTTGCCATAAACCCCAAAAATAGAATCGGTATGCAGCACTTGTTCCTGCACTATGAGAAAAACAAGCAAAAAAATGTTGCAACATTTAAGCACATACATGCAACATTTTAATGTATGCACCCAAGCCGGCTCGCGTTAACTGACCCGGCCGCATGCGCCTACCCCGAGTCCCGTGAACGAAACAACTTGGCACGGCGTGTGTCCGGGTCGGCCAAACGAAACAGGCTGGTACCACCGCGAACGAAACAGCCAACCAAAAAGCAAAAATTATGAACCCTGATAAGTGCTACACGTGTGACACGACGCATGGCAACTCTGAACATCAACAGCAGCCAAACATGACCGAAAATGTGCATACAACCTCAAACGCCAAAAACCAATTTCAGTTCAATGGACATTACGGTCGATCATATACAACGCAATAATCAAACTCCTTGGTGCTAAAACAAGGCAATCACGCTCTTGTCTGGAAAAGATCTTGGAGATCGATTATATCAGCGAGAACTCCTGCAGCGGTGGTGTCGTTCCCGGCTCCTGCACCCTGGATCACCAGCGGGGAGCTCTCGTAGCATCTGCTGTATATCTCCACCTGATCAGGAGAAATGATGCATTTGTAGGTAAGACACTGGTTTTCAGAAAACAAAAGGTGAACTTTCGAAGTAGCAGAGCAAAAAAATTGGAGACCAAACATTCAGGACGCTAATTGATTTGATAATTCATGGGTCAGCACCACTTTGAACATTAAAACATGTAAGACTTGATTCTCTGTTGTTCCAAAAGATATCTATGGAAACTAGTAGAAGCTGAGATTTTTAATCAAACTGCTTCTAGCACATTATAAGCCAGTTTAAGCAGTACTGACTTCGGTACTTTTAGTGTACCTCTGCTTATCCCAAGTTTATCCCAAATTGTCAACTGCACCAAAAAGAAGGGGCAATGCAACCAGTAAAAGGTAGAGCATTCTTTGCATCAATTAATGGTCTGGAAGGGTTGACAAGATACTGGCCCGTCTAGTGGAAGGCAAAAGAAACCCTACTCAGACCCAATAGGCAGGCTATGGCTTCTCTCACCATGCTTGTCTCTGGACAATCTGGAACGAAAGAAATGCTTGGATGTTCTGCAACAGGTGTGTCCCGCCGCCAATCCTTCTTAGCACCATCATTGAGGCCAAGCTTTGGGTTACCGCAGGCGCTAAGAAACTAGGGCCTATCATTTTTCATGAGTAAGTGTCATGCCGTTTTTATGGGTGCTTTGTAAAACTCTAAACTCTATTCTCTCCTTATTTAATGGATTTGGGAAATCTCATGCCTCCATTTCGAAAAAAAAGGCTGCTGACAGAGAAGTGGCATATGACAATGAACGAGCAAGAAAGAGAAAAATATAACATACCACATTGTCACTTCCCCTCAACCTTCCCAGTGCAGAATCTTTTGGGACCTCTTGAAGGCCCACTTGGCACCTACAAAATGGGGATATCAAGAACATTGAGACTAACCTACCAGCATGCACAAAATAAGCATTTAAAGAAAATGTCAAACAAACATCATGGTTTTTTATTTCAGCAAATGAGCAGAAAATAATTACTGATGTAGTTTTGGAGAATAGATTGGAGGTTTTGATGTACAGGTAAAAGCACTGAGTGATGATGCAAAAGGACATTGCACAATGCACAATGCCCATCAAATTGGGCAGGATACATACCCTGTGTTTCCAATGACACAAACATAGCGCAGAACATTTCCCCTCAAAGATGCTGCCTTGACCTTTGCTTCAATCGTCTCATCAAGTTTTGCCAACCCACTCTCAAGGAAATCCGTTGTGGGCATAACCTCAGGTCCTAACTCACTCGGATATAAACTCTCAACCTGAAGAGAACTACAAAATTAGCTCATCTAAATAGTATAGAGTACCTATTCAGTTACACAAATTTCCACACTAAAATGTAGGACAGTATATATGATGCAGCTTTCCGGCAAAAATAGGAACTCAAACAAGCAATGATTTTTTTAGGATAAAAACGGAAACTATTGGATCAATCAAATAATATCTTTACAGGCATTGGAGGGTAGTTTTTCAAACTGTAGCATGTTATCTAATCTACTCCCTAGTAGTCAAGAGAAGTCCTATGAATTAAAAACTAAGTGCCAGCATATGAATATATGAAGCAAGTTATCGCCAAGTAGAGTGATTTGGAAAGGAATTGATTCACCCAGAAGCTACTTGATTGTTTGTGAACAGTCAGACTAAGAGTAAGGTGGAACATGCATATTGGTTAAGCTATAACAACGAAAAACAGCACTCCGTGCACAAGGAACCATGTTTGTACAAAAACAAGCACATCAGAATAATTCAAATTGCTGAACAGTATTTTAGATAGGCATACATTGATATTCTCCATGCTGATCTGCTGCCCGAGAAGCCTAGCTAGGATCAACGCCTGCACATATACCGAATATGTTTGACAAATTAAAAAAGGATCAAATGGAAGTTATTAAACATTTGAAACCTGAACATAAGTTCCCTTTCTAGAGAAACATAATATTATTTGATGTACACCAAATATAAATGGCTATCCGGAAGGTGAAGGTATTTAAATTCAAAATAGGATAAGTAGATAAAGTAGGCCTGTCAACTCTGCCTATGTCTTCTAGGCATAGCCGGTCCCAAGCCCGGGTAAAGGAGGAGGGTTGTGATAGGCTTGGCGAGCCAACGTAAAAACTAGCCAGTCCTATAGGTATGAAACCCATTTGAGCGAGAATAGTACTAGGATGGGTGACCTCCTAGGAAGTCCTCGTGAAAGGGTTTCATATCTAAGGGTTGTGATAGGCTTGGCGAGCCAACGTAAAAACTAGCCAGTCTTTTGGGTATGAAACCCATTTGGGCGAGAGTAGTACTAGGATGGGTGACCTCCTGGGAAGTCCTCGTGAAAGGGTTTCATATCTAGCCTACCCCAACTTGTTTGGGATAAAAGGCTTCGTAAGTAAGTAAGTAAGTAAGATAAAGTAGGCCTGTCCTGTTTGAATTGGATGGGCATTTTGTGTATTTGGTTGTACTGGTTAAGTTTTTTTTTTCTATCGGATCCTAGCAATAAAACATAAACTCATCAAAAGTAACATGCAACAGCAGTTAGAATATACATATCAGTTCACTACTTCACTTAACAGAAGAAGAAAAATACTGCCAAAGGCTAAACAAAGACACAAGTAAAGTGAACTATGTCGATATTCATGAGTAGAACACAGCTAACTAACTCAATGCATGAAGAGACGTGAGCTATCTAACCTTTCTAGCCACATCCATCCCACTGAGATCATCACGTGGATCTACAAAAAATAAACAGCAGGGTAAATGCACTTTCCTATGCAAAGCATAAGTTAAGCAAAGTACCTAGTCCTTAGTTAAAAACCAAAGTATATTCACTTTTAGCATGCTTTCACAAAGAAAAGTCAAACACAAAAATATAACTCATTTAGTGAACTGGTTTTTCTGATTTCTTGTGTTTTTAGTAAAGTAGGTCAGGCCTATAGCTACGTTCCAAAACCTCATGCCTTAAGACAACCACAAATGCATGTTTTAGATTTTATTTCTAAAGTTTACTAATGAGAAGTAGAAAAATAGCATGAGAGAACATCAGTATATTTCCATCCTATAGTCTAAGCTTTACCAATTTTCCATATACTCATCAAACAGCGGTCTGTTAGAAGAACTATATATATTAATATGGCATAATACAGATAAATGTAGCAACATATTGCTTCAGTCCGAATAAAATTATCCATTCTCCTTCCAACCCAATGATACAACTATACAACTATCTTTTACTTACGTACCATAGTTTCCTGGAAATAAGCTTATAGTATCAACGTAATTTTCTTCTCATTGACCAATGGTAAACAACTAGACATATATAAATATCATGATGACAGATATGAGGTGAGTATACATCTTTTAGACCTGGTTCTGTATAACCAAGAGCCTTGGCAGTTTTCACAACTTCACTAAAAAATTTTCCATCCTCCAGCTCACTCATCACATAGCCAAGTGTACCTGCAATAGTGTATTAAGGAAAGAGTGTATTGTATTGTTATTTGTAAAACACTGCATTATCATAACAAGCATGCTACAAATTATGTACCACTCAGACTGCCAACGATTCGGGAAACTGGATCTCCAGATGCAATAATGCGGGTTACAGAAGCTATTACAGGCAAACCTGCTCCAACCTGGAAGTAAGAATTGCAAAGATTGGTGGATGTCCTTTGTAATGAAACATCAGATATCAAATAAACAGTGGAAAGAACCAAATAAGATAATGTAATATACATGGTTTGACTCCTGCAGTCCAGTCACAATATCTTTTTGACATAAAATGAACAAGAATAATGTATGAACATGAGTGATGAACAAACTATCAGAATACTTCACAAAAAAATGACCAAATATACAATATGAAAAGAGCAAGAAATCAAGAAATGATTACTAGTAGCTTGTGCATACAGTAGATTCAAATCTTATCTGACGGAAGTGGGACGTCAACTTTTTAAAATCCTCCTGCACAAAAAGCAAGCAAATCAGGTAAAGCACATATGAAATTTATCTCATTGACTGAATATAAACCAGTGAATCTTATACATCACTTGGTAAGACTAGGCGTCAAGATGGCCTTACATAAGCACATGTAAGAGGTTTTTTGTTTGCCAAAACAACGCAGCATCCATGATCCACGGCATCCTTCAGCACACCAACAGTGTCATAAGTTGCAGAACAATCAACTATCACCAGACCTGCAAAAAGTGTTCAAGTGTAACACAAGCAGTAAAGAAGATCAGTAGATGGATAACAGGAAAGTATCACCAAAACCATCACACAGAGCAAAGCTGGGATCTTCATTTTTTATGTTTTCTATTGATTGAAGCAAATAACGTGGCAGGCATAATATATGGTGTGCGAGGGAAAATGGGTTGGTGTGTTGTCTGATATACAGTACTATGAGCAACAGAGTGCAGAATTAACAAACCGGTTGTTCTTCCAAGCATGGTAGCAGCATCGATTACTTTCCCCATTGCCTCCGGCTTGTTGAACACCTGACAGTGCCCTGGAATTCCACAACCAATCCAAGCATACATCAAATTCCATTGCATGTACGGGAAGAAAAGTAGATTAACCTCCGATCGATGCCGTATTTTTTACACATAGTATTCTGATGAATGCCGTACCCACTCGCGCCGCAACATAAGGATCGATGCGGATGGAATGAAACTTTACATACCGCGAGCGAGCAGCGAGGACAGGGGCGAGCCGGCGGACTTGGCGGAGCAGAGGTCGTTGAGGAGCGCGTCATCGAGGCCGCTGGCGCGGACGTCGTCTGCGACGAGCAGCGAGGAGCTGTCGGCAACGCCCACCACCCGGATGGCGACGCCCTATAATCAGAAGCAGGTAGCACGCATGAGCGCCGCCGAATCGGGGAGGGGAAAGCGGCGGGTGGATGAACCTGACCTGGTTGGCGTGGAGAGGTCTGCAGGAGACGATGTGGCGGAGGAGGTGGCGGCCGACGCCGCCGCAGCCGAGGAGCACCACCGGCAGGACCGCCCTAGCCTGCGCCTGCGGCATTTGGAAACTCGGATCGGCTTCGATTCGTCTCGTCCAGAGAGGAGCTGCGGGAGTGTTCCTAGCGCCGGCAGCAGAGTTTTTAGCTGCTGCGTTGGGGGTTCGGCCGTTTGGGCCGTACCACACCAACGTTGTTACCTACCGCGGCATGGCCCAGTCGTATGCCGTGGTCGCGGACATTTTTTTTTGAGCATCAGTACAGACACAAGCGCTCATATACACGCGCATACACTCACCCCTATGAACGCATGCACGCACATCCTACCCCTATGAGCACCTCCGAGAGACTGAGCCGGCATATCATCTTGAAATTTACGAAGTCACCGTAGGCGCCTCGTCATCGACGGGAACGTCTCCTCCCACTAAAGCGCATCGCCGGAAATCCTGAAATAAATCCAGGAATAATGCGAGCACCAGGATTTGAACCCTGGTGGGTTGGGGATACCACTGTCCACCTAACCAACTCAACCACAGGTTGATTCGCGCCGTAGTCGCTGACATATGTTGTGATTCTCCTGAAAAAATACGGTAGCAATGCAATTTAGCGAACGTTTGCTGGGATGGCATTTGCGAACGTTTGTCACCGGGTTTTATGCAGCGGGAATATGACAATTCCTTTCAGCGAACACAGCAATCTTTCACAGCAAAATCCTTTTGTTGCCATAATTTGTCACGTGTTTCTGAAGGAAATTGCCATGTATATTCTAAAGAATTTGCCATAAATAAACATTCGCAAATGCCATCCCCCAGTAGTGAACATTCGCGGGCTAAAGAGGTCCAATAATTATGTTGTGATTTTGCTTTAAAATAAGGGGTGTGATTATAGCTACATTTTAACCATCCAACAAACTCTAGTAATAAAACCAAAAAAAACAACCAATTCTTTTTGCGAGAAAACCCCAACCAAATCTGCAAAACCAGCTTATCCAAAACGAGATTGCCATAATCCTCAGATACCAAACACGTAGCAACGTCCGTTAACTAGAGACACGGGTCAATTATAAGAAGGAATGAGATTAATCACGTGCAGAATACATATCGGTTCACAAAACCAGGGCAGGATCATCATCATCACTCATCAGGCTCAGGCCAGGAGCACCTGACATGGTATCATTTTCACATAGCATAAAGGGTTTCATCGTGTGTACATTCAATCATTGATACAACATAGTAGCAGTGTGATAACAGCTCAAAGATCGAGCTTACAAAGACATGTCAACACTCTGGCAGCATTTTAACATGCCTACATATTCCAGTCATTTGTCCAGCCGCTAGTTGCTTCTGCGGCCCTGCCAATCCATTGGAAGCCTTCAGGACTGCAACCCCGCAAGCAAAATAGCACTTGTTAGTGTCATGCATCATTTATTTCTGAACATCAAAGTCATAATGCAACTATGCTGAACGCACACAGGGAAAGGCTTGAACTACTTGAACAACACAAAAATAAACACCAGAGCAAAGTTGACAAAAAAAAATTCCCATTCCAGCCCTGAGTGTTAGATAGAAACCTTGCTGGCTATGTTGTTGGAGAGCCAGTCCAACCCTTCATATAGACCCTCTCCACTTGTGGCGCAAGCACTCTGGATATACCTGTGATAGAATGGGAAATAACACCAAGCTTATCAGCAAGCCTTCTCCAACTAGCAAAATTATCATCTAGGTATAAAATCAGCAAGGGTCAAATACCAGTGTCGCTGACGCAGAGAGTGTAGACCAAGCTTATCTGTTATTTCAGCAGCATTCATGGCATTGGGAAGATCTTGCTTGTTAGCAAAAACAAGCAATACAGCATTGCGCAGCTCATCCTAGTGACAGTTAGCAAACATTACCGAGGGAATTCGATAAAAAAAATATTACTGTGGGAACTGACTTCACAGGCAGACATAGATAAGATTCAAAAGAATGATATACCATTGTAAGGTGAGCAAAGTATATGATAATATAGACTTATTAGTTATAAATGGTGCAAAATCAAGTTCTCAAAATCACCATATGTAAAGCATGCAAAGTATTCTAGTTGCCGGGACACAGTATTATTGATATCCACAAGATGTACATGTACCATGTGCAATAAGATAAGATTCTTCATGCTGTAAATTTTTACACATTACTCTGAATGTAATGTTTAATACTTCTATAATACATGAGTTTCCAAAAATTAGACCGCACATCTACAGAAGATAACACAGTCCAACATTTCAACAGGTATATATAGCACTTGCCTCATTCAGCATCCTGTGGAGCTCATCTCTTGCCTCAGCAATACGGTCTCTGTCGTTGCTGTCAACAACAAAGATAAGGCCCTGAGTGTTCTGGAAGTAGTGCCTCCACAAAGGCCTTATCTGTTTTGAAAATGGCATACATAAATCATCAGCTTGTCTTTACATAAATAGACTTTTGTCAATGAAACGCTTTAGTAACTGCAAACAGGTGATTAGCATTTTATTCATGTGACGACAAACAAGGAAATAACAGCCAAAGAGTGACCCAAGAAGAAGAAAAGAGCAAAACCCTCACCTTGTCCTGGCCACCAACATCCCAAACAGTGAAGCTGATGTTCTTATACTCTACTGTCTCCACGTTGAACCCTTGTGTAAACAAAATGTCAAAACGATATCGTCAGCGGTATAATCCTTACTTCTGCCTCCCAACCAAAAGAAGAAAAAACAATGAGTAAGCAACCACAACATTAACCCCTACTAACAGAAGTACAAACATCCTTAATTCGGCAGGTACTTCACTACTAACAGAACTAACATCTGAAATAGGAGCCATATTGCAATAGAAGGCCCTGACTGGATCGCTGCCAACGGGTTGGATTTGAAATGCAAATTGCTACTTTTCTCTACTTATTATTCTGGCAAACCTGAACATGTTTGACTATACGGATTCTAGGACAACTTCTAATAGCAACTTAAGCTGCTGAACCTAACAAAATAGCTCTAACCGAATGAGAGTATCCCAAAATCTTTGATTCAACATACGCACCAGGCAACCACAGACAGAAGAAGCAGTAGCTAAACGATATAGGGGGTTCAACTGGCACAGATACAAAATCAATTGTTCGTATAGAACCGAACTGGTACCAGGCTACCAGCACAGAAATCTAGCACACTAGATTAGACAGAAGTGAAAGAAAGCATATGGATAATTCAGTGTTCTAATTTTGCTCATGTATATACTATACTAACGGAGGAAGCAATTCATGCGAGCCCGGCCAGCGGTTCCACCGCACATACGATTTGGGCGTGTGAGCGTGAGCGCTACAGGAAGAAACCGGAAGCAGAAAATAGCAGCGCGGCGAACAGCATCGGTACCGATGGTGGGGATGGTGGTGACGATCTCGCCGAGCTTGAGCTTGTACAGGATGGTGGTCTTCCCGGCGGCGTCGAGGCCGACCATCAGGATCCGCATCTCCTTCTTGGCGAACAGCGCCCCGAACAGCGTCCCGAACGACAGCCCCATCGATCTCCCTACCAAACTTCTCCTCCGCCGCCTCCTCCTCTCCTCTCCTCTCCTCTTCTGTCCTTGGATGGAATCGCCCAAAGCACAAGCGAGTAGAGGCTACGGAGACGCAGAGGGAGGTGTGGTTGCCTTTGGAGAAGAAGAGGAGAGCGTGCGTCCTACGCGAGGCGGAGGGATTCGTTTTGACTGACGTCCGGTGGACCCAGCATGTAAGCGAGATGTGAGAGGGCCCCCTACGTGATTTTTTTTAGGGGGTTTGTGGGACCAAGTTGCCGCTGAATAAGGCCGGCGGCGGGATGGAGCTGGGCCGTGGACTGGGCCAAAATCACTTTGTGTTTTTTTTTAGGAAAACCTTCAATTTATTCATCATCAATCATCGCAGCACAACGAATATCAGAAATAAACAAACACGTTTAGATCCTTAGATCACCCAGCGATGATTTCAGGCCGTGAAGCGAACCGAAGGTGCGTCGTCGTCATCTCCTTTTCCTCATCGAAGCTGGACAAAACTCACTGTAATAGATAGTGTGGAAGTCGGCGTGCTAGGGCCCCACAAGGCCAACAAACCAGAACAACTACTGCCGCCGATGACAGAAAATAGTAGATATGAAGGATTCAACCTGTAAACACACAAACGAAGACGTTATCCAAGAAGATCCACTGAAGACCGACACCGACCAAATCCATCGAGATCCGCCGGAGACATACCTCTACATGCTCTCCGATGATGCTAGATGCGCCACCTAAACGGGGGTTGGGAGAAGAGGACATTATTTCTTCTCTAGGGAGCCACCGCGTCGCCTTCTCGAGCAGAACACAGACCCTAACCAAACACAAAAAAACCACCTAAAAATGAAGCAGGAGCCCTCTCGCCGGCAAGGGCCAAAATTTGCCGCACCTCCATGGCCCTAAGGCCACAAGACATGAAGCAGATTGGTAGCAGCGCCGACGGGAGGCAGAGGGAACCCTAATCGCCTTAGCCATCAAGGGTCGCGAGTGAGGGGTGTGTTATGTTTTTTCACACACCCACTTCTGGTCAAAATCACCCTTTAGACTTCCTCATAGAAGTTTAGCACAATTTGACCCATTTAAAAAGTTTAGCACGATCTAACCCTCGTGCCCATGAAGGAAATATGCTCTAGAGGCAATAATAAAGTTGTTATTTATATTTCCTTATATCATGATAAATGTTTATTATTCATGCTAGAATTGTTTTAACCGGAAACTTGATACATGTGTGGATACATAGACAAAACACAATGTCCCTAGTAAGGCTCTACCAGACTAGCTCGTTAATTAAAGATGGTTAAGTTTCCTAACCATAGACATGTGTTGTCATTTGATCAACGGGATCATGTCATTAGGAGAATGATGTAATGGACAAGACCCATCCGTTAGCTTAGCATAATGGTCGTTAAGTTCTATTGCTATTGCTTTCTTCATGACTTATACATATTCCTTTGACTATGAGATTATGCAACTCCCGAATACCGGAGGAATACCTTGTGTGCTATCAAATGTCACAACGTAACTAGGTGATTATAAAGATGCTCTACAGGTATCAACAAAGGTACTTGTTGGGTTGGCATAGATCGAGATTAGGATTTGTCACTCTGAGTATCGGAGAGGTATCTCTAGGCCCTCTCGGTAATGCACATCATAATAAGCCTTGCAAGCAATGTGAGTAAAGAGTTAGTTGTGGGATGATGCATTACGGAACGAGTAAAGAGACTTGCCGGTAACGAGATTGAACTAGGTATAAAGATACCGACGATCGAATCTCGGGCAAGTAACATACCGATGACAATGGGAATAACGTATGTTGTCATTGCGGTACGACCGATAAAGATCTTCGTAGAATATGTGGGAACCAATATGAGCATCCAGGTTCCACTGCTGGTTATTGACCGAAGAGGTGTCTTGGTCATGTCTACATAGTTCTCGAACCCGTAGGGTCACACTTAACGTTTGATGACGATTTTGTATTATATGAGTTATGTGATTTGTTGACCGAATGTTGTTCGGAGTCCCAGATGAGATCACGGACATGACGAGGAGTCTCGAAATGATCGAGAGGTAAATATTCATATATAGGACAATAGTATTCGGACACCAGAAGTGTTCTGGGGGTACCAGGTACATATCGGGTCATCGGAAGGGGTTCCACGCAACCCCCGGCAAGCTATATGGGCCTAATGGGCCAAGAATTGGACAAACCAGCCCCAAAAGGGGTTGGTGCGCCCCTATAGGATGAATAGGAGGAGAAGGAAAGGAAGGAAGGGAGAAGGAACGGGGAAGATCCGGCCTCCCCCTTTCCTTCCCCTTCCCCTCTCTTTCCTTCCCCCTCCGATGGATATGGAAGGGGGAGGCCGACTTGGAGGAGGCGCCCAAGTAGGAATCCTACTTGGGCGCCCCTTGCAGCCCCTCTCCCTCTCCCACCTATATATATGTGGGGAGGGCACCGCTAGAACACACAACATTGATTCCTAGCCGTGTGCGGCGCCCTCCTCCACAGTTTACGCCTTCGGTCATATTGTCGTAGTGCTTAGGCAAAGCCCTGCGCGGATCACTTCACTATCACCATCACCACACCGTCATGCTGACGTAACTCTCCCTCGACACTTTGCTGGATCAAGGGTTCGAGGGACATCATCAAGCTGAACGTGTGCAGAACTCGGAGGTGCCGTACGTTCGGTGTTTGATCTGTCGGAATGATAAGAAGTTTGACTATATCAACCGCGTAGTCAAACGCTTCCGCTTTCGGTCTACGAGGGTACGTGGGCACACTCTCCCCCTCTCGTTGCTATGCATCTCCTAGATAGATCTTGCATGAGCGTAGGAATTTTTGAAATTACATGCTATGTTCCCCAATAGTGGCATCCGAGCCAGGTCTATGCATGATACGCATGAGTAGAACACAAAGAGTTGTGGGCGATGATAGTCATACTGCTTACCACCAACATCTTATTTTGATTCGGCGGTATTGTTGGATGAAGCGGCCCGGGCCAACCTTACATGACCACGTTCATGAGACCGGTTCCACCGACAAACATGCAACTTGTTTTGCATAAAGGTGGTTGTCGGGTGTCTATTTCTCCAACTTTAGTTGAATCGAATTTGACTACGCCCGGTCCTTGTTGAAGGTTAAAAGAGCAAAATTAACGAAACATTGTTGTGGTTTTGATGCGTAGGTAAGAACGGTTCTTACTAGAAGCTCGTAGCAGCCACGTAAAACTTGCAACAACAAAGTAGAGGACGTCTAACTTGTTTTTGCAGGGCTTGTTTGTTGGAAATATCCCTAGAGGCAATAATAAAATGGTTATTATTGTATTTCCTTGTTCATGATAATTGTCTATTGTTCATGCTATAATTGTATTAACTGGAAACCGTAATACATGTGTGAATACATAGACCACAACATGTCCCTAGTAAGCCTCTAGTTGACTAGCTCGTTGATCAATAGATGGTTATGGTTTCCTGACCATGGACATTGGATGTCGTTGATAACGGGATCACATCATTAGGAGAATGATGTGATGGACAAGACCCAATCCTAAGCATAGCACAAGATCGCATAGTTCATCTGCTAAAGCTTTTCTAATGTCAAGTATCATTTCCTTAGACCATGAGATTGTGCAACTCCCGGATACCGTAGGAATGCTTTGGTGTGCCAAACGTCACAACGTAACTGGGTGGCTATAAAAGCACACTACGGGTATCTCCGAAAGTGTCTGTTGAGTTGGCACGAATCGAGACTGGGATTTGTCACTCCCTGTGACGGAGAGGTATCTCTGGGCCCACTCGGTAATGCATCGTCATAATGAGCTCAATGTGACTAATGAGTTAGCCACGGGATCATGCGTTACGGAATGAGTAAAGAGACTTGCCAGTAACGAGATTGAACGAGGTATGGGGATACCGACGATCGAATCTCGGGCAAGTAACATAGCGATAGACAAAGGGAATTCTATACGGGATTGATTGAATCCCCGACATCATGGTTCATCTGATGAGATCATCGTGGAACATGTGGGAGCCAATATGGGTATCCAGATCCCGCTATTGGTTATTGGCCGAAGAGATGTCTCGGTCATGTCTGCATGGTTCCCGAACCCGTAGGGTCTACACACTTAAGGTTTGGTGACGCTAGAGTTGTTATGGGAAATAGTATGTGGTTACCGAAGGTTGTCCGGAGTCCCGGATGAGATCCCGGACGTGACGAGGAGTTCTGGAATGGTCCGGAGGTGAAGATCGATATATTGGACGAAGGGTATTGGAGTCCGGAATTGTTCCGAGGGTACCGGGTGACGACCAGCGTGTCCGAAAGGGGTTTCGGAGGCCCCGACAAGCGTTGGCGGGCCTTATGGGCCAAGGGGAGGGGGCACATCAGCCCACTAAGGGGCTGAGCGCCCCTCCCACCCCATCTCATGTAACTTGGAGAGGTGGGGGCGCCTCCCCTAGGGCAGCCACCCCTCCCGGCTTGGGGGGCAAGTTTCCTAGGGGTGGGGGTGCCCAAACCCATCTAGGGTTTTCCCTATGGCCGCCGCCCCTCCCCTAGGGAACCCTAGGGCGCCTCCTCCACCCCCTTCCCCCTATATATAGTGAGGGGGAGAGAGGGCAGCTGCACCCCTTCCCTGGCGCAGCCCCTCCCTCCTCCAACTCTTCCTTCTCCTCCGTAGAGCTTGGTGAAGCCCTGCAGGAATACCACAAACTCCACCACCACGCCGTCGTGCTGTTGGAGTTCTCCCTCAACTTCTCCTCTCCTCTTGCTGGATCAAGGAGGAGACGTACCTAGGCTGTACGTGTGTTGAACGCGGAGGCGCCGTCCATTCGGCGCTAGATCGGATCTTCCGTGATTTGAATCGCCGTGAGTACGACTCCATCAACCGTGTTCTTGTAACGCTTCCGCTTAGCGATCTTCAAGGGTATGAAGATGCACTCCCTCTCTCTCATTGCTAGCATCTCCTAGATTGATCTTGGTGACACGTAGGAAAATTTTG